TCCAGCATTAGTGCTCCAGGCTAGGGAGCCTGGTGTGGGACTGTTGTGGGACCTTTCGCCCCATGGTGGGAGACCTCTGCAGTTAGATATCCTTCCCAATTCTCAATTGCCACATGTAGGTGTGGGGCTAGCCCATTTTGCATCTCCACCCCTCCTACCAGTCTTGATGTGGCTTCTTCTTTATAGCCTTAGTTATGGGACTTCAATTCAGCTAGTCTTCAGATGGTTCTCCAAGTTAATTGCTATATAATTTAGGTGTAATTTTGATATGGTAATGAGAGGAGGCAAGCACAGCATTTACTAACTTCATCTTGACCTGAAGCCCAGTTGTTTTTAAGTGTTAAATAAAATAGTAAATATAAACAAAAATTGCGAGATATTTCATTTATTATAAAAAATATTTACTTTTTACCACGGAATTTCCTTAGGACATAGGAATAATCCATGTAGCATGAAACATTTTTAAAAAAAGTAGTACAGGGCATAGTGGTCATTCAATAGTCTGTATTTGATTAAACTTATATAATGAAAGCCTATTGCCATGGTGAATTCACTGTAAAAAAAGTTATTTTATTTCTCCTAAATTTACATTCCACATTTTTTTACAGCTTCTATAGCCACGTTCTTTAACTTACTCATGGAAGCAATATCTACCTTTGTCTTTATTATTATGAAGCCTTCTGTTATCTCTCTGAAATCTTCACCTTTCTTGAAAGAGACTTTTATTTATTTTTTCCTCATCTGCTGAAAAATTTCTTTTAAGACATTCAGTTTGGAGGTACTTGTGAAAGCCTCACTTTTTTGGGTCGACAGAAGCTTTTACAAGCTCAGACAAGCCATGTGCAAGAAGAATGAGAAGAGACAGAGACCCAGATGGCCCTTGGCAGGAGAATGAGTGAAAAAACATTTAAATTTTATATAATGGGATATAATGGGATATAGTCATTGAAAATAATACATTGTTGTACATGTATTACCAAGACAAATCTCAGAATTTTTAAATAGAGTGAAAAGGATATGAATCATTTGTGTAAATTTAAAAAACACAAACAATTGTATATATAATTTATGGATAAATGTGTCTATAAAAATGTAAAAATGTGCAGGAATATTATATACCAACTCTAAAATATCCAAGGGCAAGCAGGTGATGGACTTGAACTGTAATTTTCAAGTGTATTTCCTCCCTAAAGTTTTACAATGAAAATGTTCCAATATACAAAAATAATTTTACAGTGGACACCTTCATATCTACCATCTAGATTCTACCATTAACATTTTATTGTTAATATTACATATCTATCCATCCAATGTAAGTTTGACAAATTTTATTTTTTTAAAAAAAGAGAAACAAACAGCAAAATGTTCACACTTGTTTCATCTCAGTGGGTATCTTTTATATAAATTATTATAAATTTCTGTACTTTTGAAATGTTATATAAAAATCAAATAAATAGTATTAAAATAATATATACAAAAATGGGTGGGAGAAGTTAATTGAACTGCCAGGCTTCTCTTGGAATATACTTAACATATGAAGTCCTGTATTTGTTGAAGCTTATCAAAGTCCCTATGGACATCCCGTTTTGTAGATTTTTTTAATAAGCTTTTTATTACTTTACTCCTTTTTCCAAATGTTATCCACTGCCTCAGGAAACTATGATGATAAACAAATAGGACTACATCAAACTAAAAAGTTTTTGTACAGCAAAGGAAACCATCGACAAAGCAAAAAGACACCCGACTGATTGGGAGAAGTTATTCACTAATGATACATCTGATAAGAGGTTAATATCCAAAGTATATAAAGAACTCATACAACTCATCAACAACAAAAACAAACAATCCAATTTAAAAATGGGCAGAAGACCTGAACAGATACTTCTTCAAAGAGGAAATACAGATGGCTAATAGTCATATAAAAAGATGCTCAAGGTCACTAATCATCAGAGAAATAAAAATTAAAACCACAATGAGATATCACCTCACACCTGTCAGAATGGCTAT